ATCCTTTGAAGGAAATAGGAGCTTTCTGTGGCAAGAAACCATTTACTTTGGATTATATCATAAAAAGGTTTTGACTGCAATGAGCAGTCTGGAGACTAGGGAATGGGATTTTCCTTCAGAAGTAGAAGTTTATTTTCTCTTACAGCCTATGTGGGTAGTGAATTCCTCTGTCTTCCCTTTCTTTGTTATTCTCTCTTCTGCTTCCTACCCTTTTGCTGTGAAACTTTGAAGTTTCCTCTTTCAATATTGATATTTAACACTGCCCTAATTGAAGGGAGCTAACAACATTCATCTTTATGTGCTGTCAGTGCCAGTGGGAAGAGGTTAACAAACCCATTGGAAGTGTATTTTTCTCCCCTCCCTCAGGATTTGGGTTTAAGACCTTCACAGGGAAGTATTTAATGTGTTTTCGTTAAGTCAGGGTTTCTTTTTCCTATTACAGTTTTGCTTTCAGACCTCATTTGGGGCTCAGCATTAGAATCATACAACCATGGAATTATTACAGTTGGAAAAGGCCTCTAAGATCATTGAGTCCAATTGTTTTCCCAGCACTGCCAAGGCCACCACTGAACCATGTCCCCAAGTGCCACATTTTGAGCACTTCAGGGATGGCAATTCCATCACTTCCCTGGGCAGCTTGTTCCAATGCCTGAACACTGTTTTGGTGAAGAAATTTTGTCTTAATATCTAATCTAAACCTCCCTTTGGCACAATCTCAGGCCATTTTTTCTCGTCCTGAGACTGGAGCTACTGCCCTGAAGTACACACGGAGGTTTTGTAAAGGTGACAACTCTGGCACCAGTTGGTTCAGTATTTGCTGTGGGTGCTTTTTTGCTAAAAGAAAGTAGATTTAAGCTTGTGCTTAGGGTCACAGATTCCCTGGATATTGTGCTGAATCAAACCTGAGTTCTGGAGATGTCTCTCAGCATCACTCCAAACCAGGATGGGTTTTTTTCCTCTCAATTATTCTTAGCACTTGGCTTTTGAGTCAAGTCCTTGTGGAAGTCTCTGTGGGACAAATTGCAAGGAGAGCTCCCAAATAAGCTTTAACTTGAAGGCTCAGAGACCACCAAGGCTGCAGGGGTTGTTCACACAGACTTTTTGGGTGCTGGTGGTAGATGTGTGATCCCATCTGCTGAGCAACCAGCACTGGAGACCTTTTGCAGAAGGAGTCACTTTTGTGTTTTGTGTGATGGCTCACTGGGGCTTTCCTTATTGCAAATCCCAAGGAATTGCAGTAAACTCTCTGCACTTGTGCCTAAGGATTGAACCTTGTGCTGTTATTTTGGTGACTGAAGTTTCTTGGACGTGGATGGTTGGTGCCTGCCATGGGTGGTTTATGTGCTTCAGCCTGTCACTGAGAACTCCTTTATTTCCTCACCTGCTTTGATCAGATTGGCAATCTCCAGCAGCTCAATTTCTCTGTCAGATGGGGCTGAGATGGCCCAGTGGATTTACACTTAACCACAAGGGACACAGACTGTCAGATAAACACATGTGGTGATTTTCTTCGGGAAGCAAAGCTAAAAATAGTAATGATTCACAAAAACACAGTGGAAAATACTGGTTTTCTGGCGGACGGAACAGGTAACAGCTAATTTGGTGTGTTATTAAGCTGCCTCCACATTTGGAGCTCCTGTGCAGATGATTTTCTCTGCAAGCTGCACTTGAACACGGTGTCATCCCTCAGAGTCGACGTCTGCTCTGCCAAGCTGGGGGATTTTATTTTGACAGTGAGATACTTGCTTGGCAGTTCCTATTGAACAGATCTGATCTTGGGACTTCCAATTAGCTTTTTTCCTTAAAAAGAAAAAAAAAAAACCCTTTAAGCATCTTCAGGGAGAAACTCTTTCAAGCATGTGTGACGTGGCTCCTTAGTTCTTGGAGCAGCTATAGTGTCTCAGCTGAGCTCTCACTGTGCAGTGGGGAGCTGTGGGTTGGGGTGAGAGGGACCCCCAATTTCTGCACCCCCAGCTGCTGGGGTGGCAGCCCTGGCTCTGCTCTGTGCTTCTGGTGTGAAGGCAGTGCCATGGTCAGGATTGCTAATCTTCCTGCAAACCACTCGCAGATGCTGCCCTAGAGGCTTGGAGAGATGAGTGTTTTGCATGTTGGAACAAAAAGAGCTCAGGAACTTGGCCTGATCCTGTTTGAGAGGCATGAAATTGCCTGATTTCAGCCCAGGACTTCATTAAATAACCACATGGTGAGGGGAGTCACCACATTCCCCTTCCACATCTCAAGCTCATCCTGCAAGAGCTGTTAGTGCTGCAGGTGTGATTCCCACCCCTGGCAATTCCCATTTGCCATTCCTTTTTTCTGGTACCATCATGAAATCCATGTTTTATTCTTGCTACTGTTGTTGCTTTCTCCTTTCTTGAAAAGAAAACCCCAAAGAATGTTAAACTGTGCCTGAGTTTTGGCAGCTCCAATGCACAGACAGATTGTGCTTCAAAAAAATGGCAACGCTTCAAAATATTGTATTCTGTGAAGAAGAGACAAGGAAAATAAACTCCCCAAAGTGCAGATTTGATTTCAGCAGAAGGAGGAAGGCTTTGGATATTTATTTGGGTTTGGCATTTTGCTACCTAGTTCTTCTGCTGACACCACTCATGAACCACGATAAGCTGAAACGCTGCACAACCTGTTCTGGTTCCTGTTCAAATTAGCTTAATTTCCAGTATGTTCTTTTTCATCCTCTCAGAGCTGCTCAAGAGCAGGTTCCTGGGGTTCAGGTGTAGCACATGGGATGGTGCAAGCAAATCCCCTATGAAAATAGGCTGAGAGAGGGTGGGCTGTTCAGCCTGGAGAAGAGAAGGTTGTGTGGAGATCTCAGTGCAACCTGCAGGAGCTGAAGGGGCTCCAGGGAAGCTGGAGAAGGACTCTTGGTTAGGAACTGCAGGGACAGGACAAAGAGTAATGGAGATAAATTGAAAGAGGCAATTAAGATTAAATATCAGGAAGAAATTTTTCCTGTGAGGGTGGTGAGACACTGGCACAGGTTGCCCAGGGAGGCTGTGGCTGTCCCAACCCTGGCAGTGTTCAAAGACAAGTTGGATGAAGCCTTGAGTTCAACTCTGAAGAGGCAGTTCCTGCCTCCATGTGCAGCTCAGTGGATGTTTATGTCTCGATTTCCATGTGCAAAATCAGGGTGAAGATGCTTTTCTTGTGCCTGTGGTTGGTTTGTTTTCCCAAGGATGCAGGCAGAGAGCTCACTGGGATGGCAGACTTGGAAACTGCCAGAGACACAAGGATTTTGTTTGCCTGCAGTGCCAGATGTGTATTTTTGACTTTTTTTTTTTAGCTGACACCCCCAACAGCCAGAACACCATTACCCATTTAGCATCCTGATGGATCCAAGGTGCACAGCTTGGGCAAGAAGTGGTATCTAGAGCATCCTGCACAGCAGGACTTGCTCCTCAGCTGTACCTTCTGGGACTTTGTAGTTCAACTAATAAAAGTAGAAGGCAAAGGGTCAAAGAACAGAACAGCTCTGCTCACTGTAGGAATTCCTCCTCTGGTTTTCAGAATGAATTTTACTTCCTTACAGACCAGCTTGTACCTCTTGGGAAAACAGAGCTGTCCTTGATGCTTCTGACTGACCTTGCTGCTTTTATGTTGCCTTCTCTGTGTTAGGTTGGAAGCTCCTGGGAGCAGAGAATTGGCTTTTTCCCCCTTATTTTTCCCCTTTGTAAATTCACAGCTCTGTTGCTCTCTAATCCTGACAGCAAGTGTGCACAGGGGTTTCCAATGCTTTACCCACGAGGAGACAAGAAAGGGAAAATATTGAAAAAAATAATAAAATTGGCAATCTGAAGTGACTAATTGATTCATAAAGGTCATTTTCCATTCTGGGTGGCTGCACTGATCCAGCACCCCTCTGGCAGTGGGATGGACAGGCATGGGATCATAGAATCACCAAGGCTGGAGGAGAGGCCTAAGATCATCAAGTCTAACCATTAACCTGTCACTGCTGTAACCCCTAAACCATATCCTCCAGCACCAGATCCAGGCACCTCTTAAACACCTCCAGGGATGGTGACTCCACCACCTCCCTGGGCATCTCTTGGGATGAGTTTGTGTCAAAAAGGAAGACCAAATTAGGACATGTATAGGTGAAATTTCAAAGAGAATATTGGGAAGAGAAAGTAAAGTAAGATATAAATTGTTAGGTTAAAAATGCTGAATGCCTAAATTAGATGGGAATCAGGGATTTTATTACCCAGCCAAATATCTAGGTGTTTACCTTGGGGTTTTGGTGACATGACTTATGTTTCCAGGTTGTTTTATCCATGGATTCAAACCCCCATGCTGAAATGTGGCTGTATATGTGTAGTCATGAAAAGGTTCTTGTGTTTCTCTAGCCTGCCTGGCTCGTGTGTGCTGGCTTGGACCTCCTCTACAGGAGAAATACAGCTCAACTGCTTCAGAGCTTGAGCTCCATCCAGCTCAGAACAGCTTGGCTGGTCAGTGTGAACAGAAACAAATGGCTTTGAAGCCTGCAAACTTCATTCTGCTTTATTTTTGCTGGGTTTGCACAACTTTAATGACCAAGAGATGAAACATGCAGTCAAACACAATCAGAATCTGGACTTTCAGATGCAATTTGAACAAGGTTTTGAGTCCTGCCAGGGTTTGCAGTTCTGGGTCTGGAATGGTTTAAAATCTAAGAAGCATTTTAAGGGATCCTACGTGGACAGGAGGAGAAATACCTTTCCCTTTGCATGTTCTTGTGACCTGTCTTTGCCAGAGCTCTTGCCTGTTTTCTGTACCAAGTTGGCAGCCAGACCTCACAGGTCTAAATGAAGCATTACTGAACAAAGGCACTTTATGCTTGAACTCTGTGCCCTGAGTCTACACCACCAGCCTGGCTGGGCATTTATGTTAAATAAGTTCAACAAATAGAGACAAGCTGTGTTTTGCACATTAAACCAAAACAAATCATAACAACAACAACAACAAAAAACTCCCTTCTTTAACTCTGCCTCTTTCTTGTTTCACAGGCAAGAAGAGAAACCCTGGGCTGAAAATTCCTAAAGAAGCATTTGAGCAACCACAGACAAGCTCCACGTAAGTCTGCAAACACTGAGGCAGAGTGAACAGAAAACCACAAGGCTCAGCTGCTTTCCAGCCTTGGCTGGAGCCTGTGCTGCCATGGCCCAGGGCACTGGGGTCCTGCTTCTAGGGCTGGGGTGACAGGGACCCTTCACAGGAACAAGTAGTTTGGGCACCAGGTTGTCCAGGGAAGTTGTGGCTGTACCACCCCTGCTCAAGGCCAGGTTGGATGGAGCTATGCCAACCTGGTCTAGTGGAAGGTGTCCCTGCCCATTTGGAATGAGATGATCTTTAAGGTCCCTTCCAATCCAAACCATTCCATGATTCTAGGGTAGTAACCTCACAGCCCTTGTATTTCTCAGGTACAACCAGGACATCTCAGCTCTTCACCCTTTACCCATAATGTCCCATGGTGCAACTCTTGTACTGCTTAATGATGCAGGAAAAGGGAAAAAACAGATTGGACACCCAATTTTGACTGATGTGGCACTTTGACAACCCAGTTTGATTAACATGCGTGTGGTCAAGGCATAAAAATGTATCCCATTCCCTACATCCTCAGCCTTGCAAAAGGAAACCCTCTGTTTTTAAGGCAATTTGTACAACTTCAGCCTGCTTGGCTTCCTTTGCTTCCTTGAGGAGTGACTCTTTTTTAGCCTGTTAACCTGTGCTGTCTGACTGAGGTAATCATTTACATGACTTTAGACCTTTATGCCCATTTAATCCATTTTTCATACAGGCTGGCAGAGGTTTGGTGCTTGCCACCTGCTTTGCCTTTTGCAATGAAGCTCTTTGGGTTCCTGGATGTGAGCAATGCCAATTCCAGCAGCTTCATTCCTGGGCCCTTTTTGGGGTGACTTTGTGGATCTTGGCTGTATGTTTTGACCCTACTAAGGCAGGAGAATGCTTAGGCTGCTCGGGGCTGCAAGGGCTGCTGGCCTGAAGGTGTGAGGGGGTGGCTTGGGGGACCATGAGGGGTTGTATGTATTCATCGAGGGAAAAATGGTCTTTGCAAGGAAGATTTCACATGTTTCCCTTTCCTCTTCTGCAGGCCACCCAGAGATCTAGACTCTAAAGCCTGCATCTCTATTGGTGAGGAGGTAAGACTAAGAGACCTCTGGGGACATCCTGGGTTGGTTTCTTGTGGGTTTACCTCACTTCAGCCCCTCCCAAAAAGGGCAGATAAATAAATACTAGCAATTAAAAATAATGTAGCCCATTTTGCTTGAAATAGAAGGCAGTTGCTACATGAATAAAAGCTGAGAAGAACCAGCCTGGGAACTTGGGAGCTGTGGGGGCTTGTGAGCCCTGACAGTCACCTCCAGCCATAAATATCCAAGTAGCATCTGGTGTTTGTGCTCCTCTAGCAAGGGCTGTCTGTGTGGGACAGCAGTGTGGCCCCATGGCCAGCTGCAGTGGGACCTGCTGGCTCACTGCTCTGCTGAACATGCCCCAAGCACTCACCCTTTGCCTCCCATGACACGTGGGTTCCCTTCATATTTTCCACCATGGAAATTCCTTCCTTACTGCAATAAGGTGCAGCTAATCCCCTGGAAATAATGATTATAAAGTAAAGGGACTGCTAGCAGAGTATTTTATTCTCCTCTGCAGTGCCTTTGCTGATTTAAAGCCTTCATCCAAAGTATTTCCCTTTGCTAATATTGAAGGCTCCTCAGGACTCTAACTCAGGGTAGATCTTCCTCTCCTGGAAGCAAATCCTTGTGACAGCATGGAAACGAATCCACCTGATGGTCTAAAGAAATAGCAGGACAAAAACAAACCCCGGGACAGTTATTTTGATAGGAGGAAAGGGCAGAGTAGAATTCATAAAAGCACTTTATAGCTTAGCATTAAATTTATTAGGTGCAAAAGATAGGCCTGGGTGTCAGGGAGTTAATTTATGAAGTGAAATGCTCATCTAATAGTGGTTTATAATATCTGTCTTGGGATGCTATTCTTTCATTTTGGATTTGGTATTTGCCCTGGCATAGAGTAGGGGCTGGAGGTGGAAACAGTGTGAGATGCTCCTGGAGGAACATGGTGCAGCAGGGAGGAAGGGAAAACGCTGCTAGAGCCAGTGCCTGCTCCAAGAAAATCACTTCTCCCCTGCAGCCACAGGGATGAGGAGAGGCTCCATGCATGGAGTCAGTGAGCCTGGGTTGGACAGTGCAAAGAGAAACACACAACTCCAGAGCTCAGGCTGTTTTACAGGTGCAGATCTGTGCTATCTCAGAGGGATTGGCATGCCATGGCTTGCATTTCCCATGGATTTGCTACCTGTTTAGCCAGCCAGGTTCCTTTAGGATGTGCTCCTTTTTCCACCAGCCTTTCTACACTCACCCTGATCCCCAGGGAAAGCCACTTTTCCCTGCTCTCCCTCTAAACTTCGCTGCTCAGTTGGAGATGGTCCATGTGAGCAGCAGCAGCAGTGTCAGGTAGTCAGAGCTGCTTAAATCTCTGCTGTTCCTCCAAAATACTCCAGTCAGGGCTCCTTGTGCACCTTCCCAGAGTGCATCCCCAGCTGGCACATTGCAGGCTGTAGGATGTTTTCTGCTGTGCTGGCAAAAAGCTGAGTGGGATTATGTGCTGTGAATCAGTTCATTCTGCAGGGTGATTGACTGATGTGGTTGTGGTTTCAGCAAACAGAATGGCTGAGTTTAGTGGCAAAGGCATGTTTGAAACATCCAGAAATAATAATAATGAGGGGAAAATAGAGCTGCTGCACAATGCCATGGCAGAAAGGAGAAGGGCAGGTTGGGGTGCAGGGCCCAGATAAAGTCATCCTTTAAGGCCAGGAGAAAGAGATGATAGATAAAACAGATCCTCTGTGGTTTGAAATTGAGGCACACTCAGCTCGTGTTTGGCCCATCTGCAGATCTGGAGAAAGAAGCTTTCACAGGCCTTCAAAAACCCTGGAGATAATTTCATGATCATTTGTGGGAGAAGGAGGATGGAAGATAAAAAATGAAATCAGAGTGAAGGTGATTCCTAGGGGAGAATCTGCTGTGGGCTTTTCCATCCCAGTCCTTCGAGGATGGAGAGGCTGGAGTGCTGCCAGCTGAAGGTGGGACAAGGCAGGAGCATGTAGTGAAAGGATAAGAGGGAATAGATTCAAGCTAAAAGAGAGATGCTTTAAATTGATATGAGGAAGAAATCCTTCCCTGTGAGGGTGGTGAGACAGTGGCACAGGTTGCCCAGGGAGGCTGTGGCTGCCCCAACCCTGGCAGTGTTCACAACCAGGTTGGATAAAGCCTTGAACAACCTGCTCTGGTGGGAGGTGTCCCTGCCCAGGGCAGAGGTTGGCACTGGATCATCTCTGAAGTCCATTCCAACCCCTTAACGCTCTACGAATCAATCTATGAATCCATGAATGGATGTGGCAAGCAGGGCTAGATTTTGGTGCCCACCTCAGTGCTGATGGCTTTTCTCCCCAGAACTTTGAGGTGAAGGCTGATGACCTGGAGCCCATCTCCGAGCTGGGACGAGGTGCGTACGGGGTGGTGGAGAAGATGCGGCACATGCCCAGCGGGCAGATCATGGCAGTGAAGGTAGAGTGAGCCTCAGGGGCTTTCTGTCTGTGTTGGGGGATGTGGGCACACATCTTGACTCTCTCCTGTTCTCACATGACCTGTTCAGTCTTGAGAAGAAACCACTGGGAGGATCTCATTAATGTATACAAGTATCTAAAGAGGGTGCTAAGGTGATGGATCAGGCTCTGCTCAGTGGTGGGAACCAATAAAACAAGAAGCAATGGGCAGAAACTTACTCACAGGGAGTTCCACATGGATGTGAGGAAGAACTTCTCTACTTCAGACTAAGCACTGAATAGATTGCCCAGAGAGGTTGTGTATTCTCCCTCACTGGAGGTGTTCAAGAACCATCTGGACACAACCCTGAGCCATGTGCTCTGGGCTGGCCCTGCTTGAGCAGGGAGATGGGACCAGATGACCCACTGTGGTCCCTTCCAGCCTAACTGATTCTGGGATTCTGTGACATGTGCCTTGACTGAGATTTGCTCCTTTCCTCAAGAAGTCTTTCTACAAAGAGTTCTGAGGCAGATTTGGGCCATTTAACCAAGAAAAAGTTGTAAGATGCTCAGCATGTTTCCAGCTCAAACACACAGCTCACCTTCATCTACAATATTCCTGTTTTCCTTATCCAGCTCAAACACACAGCTCACCTTCACCTACAATATTTCTGTTTTCCTTGGATTTTATTTGCCATTGTTTTTTAAATATACATATTTTGTTCTGATGCATCTAGACCCTGAGATTCAGAGCTCTGCACTTTCTAATTGTAGAGAAGAGTGAATTTAATTGCATAAGAGAATTTTCTTCATCTGGGACCTGTTTAGTCTCTTTGGAACAGGAAATTTTTGTTGGGATTTTCACATTTTGCCTGCTGCAGTGGGATCTTAATTGATGGCAGATTTGTAGATACTGTTGTGAAAAGTTTTCATAACAACAGCTTAGACTCATAAATTTGGAGCTTAGGGAAGTGGCCAGGGGAAAATTGGTATTTTGGGTTTTTGCTTGGCTGAATTTTAGCACAAGTTTCCTTTCAAAATAGGAAGAAAAGAGAGGCAGAGCTGGAAGCTATGAGCAAACTGAAGGAAAACTTGTAGCTCTTCAGTTGTGGATAGACTTTGGGATGTATCTCAGACCCTTTGTGGTCTACATTTGGTCTTCTTGTTTGCTTTGGTGTTCACCAAACTGTGAAAGACCTCTCTGAGCATGATGGGACATCTCAACAGAGTATGGCAGGAGCATTCAGGCTGTGATGCTGAACAGTTGAATTCTATCCCATTGCTGACCTTGAGTGACTTTGGCCAAGGAGCTTGGAATATGTGTGTGAGCCGTGTTGGACTGTGTCATGCCCCATTGTGGGTCTCCAGGTGTTTCACATAAATGACATCTCTTCCTGGGAGACTGGGAAATGCCCATTTTCCAAAGCCATGGGCTGTGGTGCAGGGCTAGAGCCCTCTCAGGTGACCAAAGTCTGCTGAGGTAATAGGTGTCCACTGCAGCTCCAAAAGTCACAGCTTTCCACCAGCCTAGAACTTGATTTCCTACTCCTTCCTCCTCTCCCAAGTCACAATGACTTGTGGCTGTTGCAAAAACAGTGGTGTTTGCAGGGAAGAGCAGAATCACCTGCAGCCTGGGCTGAGGTGAGAAGACCTCTTCATCCACCACTGCCCTCTGTTGCACTGGGTGCTCCTCTTGTGAGTGTTGGGCTTGTGGTGTGGCTGTGACAGCAAGGTGTGATGGAAGGGGAGAGGTGTCAGGGCCCTGTGGCCAGCCCAGGTGTGGCTGTGGTCCAGAGGTGCTGACAGCCACCACTAACATGCTCTGTCTTCCAGCGGATCCGAGCCACAGTCAACAGCCAGGAGCAGAAGAGGTTGTTGATGGATCTGGATATCTCCATGAGGACAGTAGATTGTCCCTTCACCGTCACCTTTTATGGGGCACTTTTCCGAGAGGTATGACATCCTGGAGCTGCTCTAAATTCTCATGCCTAGACTTGTTCCAAGTGCCAGGGGTGTAATCTCCATCTGGACATGGAGACTTGGTACAGTATAAATTTGCTCAATCACCCAACAGTGTGTGTGAGTGATGGGGACAGCCAGAGACATCAGCTCACAGCCTGGTCCTGTAGTGCTGATATTGCCTTGGTGTGTGGTGAGAAATCCACGTGGAAGAAAAATGTGAAAAGCTCTGCAAAGCAGGATTTATTGAAGAGCTTTAAGCATAGCTCTGCAGAGCTGATCTTTTCCTGGCTGGGCATTAGGAGCCTCAGTTC